TCAAACGGGTACATAAATTCGTTAGAGGAATTGACAATATTTATGTAGACCTAAACAAAAAGGAGGGTTGGAGTATAGGTCTCTACGTGAATTCAATCTAGCGATATTGGGAAAGCAATTGTGGAGATTAATCTCCTGACCAAATACCTTGGTGGGAGAAATTTATAAGGCTCAGTACTTTCTGAAATCTTCTTTTTTGTTGGTAGGTTTAGGGACTTAGGAGTTTGTGTGGAGTAGTTTGCTGCAAACAAAGGAGTTGATTGTGCAAAGGATGAGGCGGAAGCTAGATTGGTCAAGTCATACAGTGTCCGTTTGGAGAGAAAAACGGTTACCGTGACAAGGAGAGACCTTATCCACATGGCACGCAAGTGGGAATTGCAGACATGAATGTTGCAACACAATAACCGCTCCAGACATTTACGAGACCAGACTTCAACATATCAATGAATAAATTTCAAAGTAAAAACATCTTGAATGAGGCCCATGGACGTTAAGGGAGGAGGGAGTATTTTATTAAAAACTGAATATTATGTAACTTCCGTATGTTACAAAAACAAAACATCAATTAATGAATAATACAGAGAAATAGCTCGAGTGTAAAAAGGAAAACTTCCGCCCTAGACCCCGGATTTTGCGTCGTCAGATTCAAAATATAAAATTATTCAATACTTAATTTAAATGAATAGCGGTTAAAGCTAGAATATATTTTTATATGATAAAACACAATTATAGCTCATGTGTCACTCTATCATAATGAAATATTTATTATCAATATTTAAAAAAAAAATCCCAACTAGCTCACCATTACGGTACTATGACGAACTAATCGGGTCTTAAACTAATCAGAATTGTTCAAAAGCAATTCACGCGGGAGTTCAACTTGCGTGGAGCAACTGGGATAGTGGTGTTGCATTACTTACCCTACAATCTACATTAGGAGTGCAGACGAGCCGAGCCGAGCCGAACCCGAGTTTATGTAGGCTCGAGCTTGGGCTCGAATATATTGTATTGGCTCGAGCTCGAGCTCGGCTCGAACGAGCTTAAAAAATCCGAGCTCGAGCTCGACTCGCAAATATTAACATGGCTCGATAAGGCTCGGAAATTTTGGTTCGTTCAAAAGTTACAAATTCAATTAGCTCGAAAGTTTGGGTTCAAACTCGAGCTCAAGTATGAAACAATCTTTAAATATTTGTACTTAACATTTGCAAATTGCAATTTACTTTTCCAACAACAAAAACTTACGGAAAAATAAACAAAATATAATCCTAATTTCAAGTCTCCACCTACTTGTACTTCAAATATATATCAAAGTGGTCAAACCATGAAGAAATAGTGGATGAAACTTTGATTTTTTTTGTTAAATTACTTTATAATTAATAATATATATCTCCTCGGTCCTCATATACATTTATGAATCGGTATTATATATATATATATATATTGGTTCAGGTGAGAAATGCATCTAGTGTGAGAAATGAGAATGAATTTCAGTCATTGGATTTACGAAGTTGCACTAAAATTATCTTTATGTTGCAGTAATATTTAAATTTTGCACATGTTGCACTAAAACTGTTTCATGTTGCACTAATATTTGACAGCGTTGCACCGAAATAGCTTCATGTTGCACTAGACACGTGTAATACGGATTTTTCAGAAGTATTTACAGAAATGCCACCGTGCTAGATTGCATATTTCAGTGCATCATGAAGTGTCTTTTACTGCAAATTAGTCGAATCCAATGACTGAGATTCATTCTCATTTCTCACCCAAAGGGTTCTTCTCACTTGACCTTACCCCCCCCCCCCCCTCTCTCTCTCTCTCTCTCTCTCTCTCTCTCTCTATATATATATATATATATATATATATATATATATATATATATATATATATATATATATATATATATATATGGCGCGGTTCCGGTAAGAACAGATCTTAGGAGAAAAATGAGAACGAATCTGGACCGTTGGATTGTATTATGTGGAACCAAATTGTGCATTTAGTGAAACTGAAATGTGCAATAAATGATATTGAAATGTGCAAAATAAAAATTTAAACTCAAGTGTGCATTAGATGAAACTGATATGTGCGTAAAAAAAGTACAAAAATAACATCACATCGTACTTTTTATTCTGCACATTTCAGCTTCACCTAATGCACATTTCAATTTCACGTAATGCACAATTCAACTGCACATAATGCCACTCTATCGTACCCTTTGTAATGCACATTTCAATTTCACCCAATGCACATTACAGTATCATCCAATGCACACTGAATCTCACTTGAAGCAAATGTAACGGTCCTGATTCATTCTCATTTCTCTCATAAGATCGTGTTTTTATTTGAACCAAAACCTATATATATATATATACTAACATATATTATATATTAATTTATGTTGTATGTTAATATATTGTATATATCAATATAAATATACACATATACGAAGTATATAACTAGCTCACGAGCCAACGAGCCTAAAATTAGTAGGCTCGTTTTATGGCTGGACTGCTTAACGAGCCGGCTCGAGCTCGAGTTTGACCGATCTCGATTTGAGCTTTGACCGAGCGGCTCACGAGCTGCTCAACTCATTTGCACCCCTACCCTACATGGACGGTTTTTCTCTATTTCTTCTTATATAGTTTTATTATACTAACCTTTAATTTTCAATATGTGTTATCCTTGTTAAATATTACCCCCTCCGTATTTTTTTGTTTGCTACGCTTTCCTCATTTGGATGTATTCAAAATTTGCTACACTTTCTTTTTTTGGTAAGTTTTTCCTTTAAAAGAATACTCAATTACCCCTTACGTTTTCTACTTTTTATCTTCTCTTTCATATTTTCCCACCATTTCTCCTACTTTTTCTACATTAGTCATTACCCCTACTATTTCACTCTTAAAAAAACTTGTCAACACCTATTGTAGCAAACAAAACAATATGGAGGGAGTACGTATTTATGAATACTCACTATTGTTATTATTATTAGTTTATTATTATTGGTGTTGTGATAAGACAAATCTTCATGTCAGGCCGGCTTGACGGGATGCTCCGTCCGGCCAAGCCCGTTTGGGCACCTTCCCGGTGGAATTTTTTAATGGAATTTTTTGAACATGTTCCTCATCAAGTCTAGTTTGTCCATACCAAAATTCAGCTCAAAATTAGATCGGGAAGGCATTCAAATCATTTTTTGAAGTTGATTGCAGTTTTATATGTATACTTTGACGCAGTCAACTTCAAAAAATGATTTGAATGCCTTCCCAATCGAATTTGGAGCTGAATTTTAGTATGGACAAACTAGACTTGATGAGGAACATGGTCAAAAAATTTTATCAAAAAATTCCACCGGGAAGGTGCCCAAACGGGCTCGGCCGGAAGGAGCATCCCGTCAGGCCGCCCTGACAAGAAGACCACTCGTTGTGATAATATCATAAAAATAATAAATCATAGTTATTGTATTGCCTCTTGTGGCGATTTATGCAAGATATCCGATTAGGGTGAACTAATCAGCTGCTTCATTTCCCAAAACGCACCTAAGTGTTTAATCACGTAAGAAAACTTCAAAGGTACATTTTGACGAAACCAGCATATCGCATGCTTGCACCTCAATGGTTTTCCCGATTAAGTGTTTAAACATCATGGTCACCAATGTAATCATTGATGTGTAATTCACCGGGCTCTTCATCAGCTGAGGGACATGTTAATTACATGCAACAAATTTAGTTCGTCTTAGATCAATTATTGAAAAACTTAGACTATTCCAAAAGAGATTTTGCACTTGGCTCATAAACTTTGTCCCACATTGGGACTCTTAAGGGACTTTTGAGCCTTTTTTATATGAACACCTATTTTTAAGGAGTAAAAACAAAATAGAGAAAGGGAATCTCTTGCGCACGTGAGATTTCGGCCGATCAGTTCAAAATCCAATTTTTGCACATCCCCCTTGCACGAGCGAACCTGCTGACACTTATTTTGGGACAACCCAAAAAGGAAAGTAGGACAAGTAAAATGGGACGGAGGAAGTAATTCACAACAAAAAAAAAAACTATTTAAATATATAAAAGTGATCAAAATGAAACTAAATTATCTCAAACCCGTTCAAGACATGTTCAATCTTCTGACTATTAAGCTTTTAGCACGTTTAGTCTTCTGACTATTATGTTATTGACACTTTTAGTACTAGACTTTATATTTTCCACTTTTAGTCTTTGAACTATTGTGTGAAAGACACTTTTGATACTTATCTTTGAAAATTTTCTTATTTAATACATTGACCTTCATAAAAATGACACTTTTGAATCTTCAACTATTATAATAGTGACATTTTTTTCATTTATTTATTGTGTCAAAATCATAGTGGAAGGACTAGACGTGTTAATTTTATAATACTCAGAGGATTAAATGCGGAGAACTTTGAAGACGAGGACTAAATGTGTCTCTCGCACGATATATAGTTGAAGGATTAAAATGGAAAAGTTAAAAATCGTGTACCAAAACTATCACTGACATAATATTCAAGTATAGAATGTGACAAAAACTCTTTGACTAGCTAATAGTCATGTCAGCCATGTTCAACTCCCACTTGTTTCGCCTCAAAGCTTGGAACCTTTAAATTGTAAGCTTACATGACCATGACATTGACAAGCGTTTTCGAGTTATTTGGGTAGACTTGAGGCCGGCTAGATGATCTCTCTAAATGACTCTCTATCTCAATTATATACACTCCGGATTTGTTATATTCTTATCGAAAAACGAGCATCCTCGTGCGAACAATGGAATAATTCCATATATTATACCACATGAATATAATGAACTTTCTGGTGTATTCAAATGTGTCCGTAAAATAAAATGGACTTGAGGTTTAACTCTCTTATTTAGTGGATGTTTTAGACTCCTATCTCTAGAATTCAATATGACATCAGTGCATATTTAGAATTCATGAAACAATGCATAATGTTGTTAATTGTGTATATCATTATACCTAAATAATTAAATAAGCTCACTATACTTGTATTTATAAATAAACAATCGATCAATCACTCAAATCTAATATTTATTCTTCTTAACCACACAGAGTGTAAAATCATATGGAAAACATCAAACCTTTGAACAGGTTGGTTAAACACGAAATGCTTCCTAACAAATCTCACGCCTTCTTTGAGCTTCATGTACTTCTCTTCTGAAACACCCAACAATTTCTCCTTCAACATTGGAATATCTGACACATTAAGCTGAATAGAGAATGAATCCCAATTTAGTACATCACTAAAAGGCAAGACGTAACGTTCAGAAAGTATCACTGGAACACACCCAGAATATATTGCTTCAGCAATTCTAGGGCTTGCCACTTCATATCCACTCGGACAAAGGCAAAACCTTGACTCCAACATGAAATCATAGTAATCTTTTTCCCCATTTGGTAAATATTCATATACGCGTAAATCTGGATCTTTATCCTTCCAATGATGGAGGAGGATTGGTCGAATCGGGCCATGCACGCCGCCAGCGAAGAAGCCAAGGTATGGCCTTGATATGTTTTCTGGAGGAGGTGATTCAATCTTGGGTGAGATTTCACCTCCATATAGATTAATCTCAGGTAAACTAACGTCTTTTTGTGGGTTGAATCCTTCTGAAGAATTGGCATTGCACAAAACCCTTATTGATGTGTTGTAGAGGAATGCATTGCCTTGTGAAACCATGGGGCCCTGCAAGAGATGTAGATACCATTTTTCGAAGAGACTCGACTTGTAGTGACTAATAACACGAGTGAAATAAAAATCAAGACATATGAACTAATCAAGTAAACAAGTAGGCAAACAAACACACAAGTAAGAACATTAAGAAATACCTAAAAAGGAAGATGTTATCACAACTCAGACATGTCAAAATCAAATGGGACTACCTTATTACAAAGTCTTGAAAAATCATTACCTTAGCTTGCAACGTACGAGGTAGTGTTACTCCAAGATATTAAACTTAGTTATGTCCTAACAACCAACACAAACATTTTTTGTGCACTTTTCTCAAAAGTCATCCATCTTCAAAGCTATGCCATACAAATACGCTTAACTACTTTGAAGTTCTTAGGAGATTGACGCCATTCAAAATGCAACTCGTTAGTATGATAATCAATTTTAATCCTTTTTGGGATCTTCATGATGTTACACTTATTATGTGATTCTCGTGTTCTATATATGTGGTCTTAATTTTCTTCCTACACTTTTGATGGAAATGCGAGTAAAATGCATAAACGATATCTTAAGTATTGGTACCATAAATTTTAAATGAAACAAATCAGTGCCATAACCATGCGTAAATGTTTCAACCTATAATACTATACAAATTTATGGTAAAAAAAACCTACTTAACGAACAAAATGTCATGTGTAGGGTCACCTTAAAGTGATGACATGAACAAAAAAAGTTAAGTGGATTTTACACATGAAATTGTGGCCGTTACAGAAATTTTTTGGGTCGTAAAATTGAATAACATTGACTATTGAAACATTTATGTATAGTTATGGCACTGATTTGATTCATTTAAGAGTTAAGTTAACAATTAAAATGCAACCAAGCCAATAATATATAAGTATCGTTTTTGCATTTCACTCTCAAAATGCTCTCCAACATTTTTATTGAAATGCTCTCCACCATTTTTATTGGTGTTGTGCTTCTACCTTGCACATTTGAAAGAACCGCCTCAATCTTCCCTCTCTTATTTTCTCTAGAATATGATCGAACAAATTCAAGTTCGAATATTGTATGTCCATCGAAACATCATCACATCCATTACTTCTAGCTTTGGCTCACTCAATGGTTCCTTTGATCTTACACATATGTGTGATCCAGGGATCAAATTATCATATCACACACTAATCTTATATTCCCATTCCCCCCCATATATGTGATGATAAATAGGAGTGAAATTAACAATGGATCATTCCAAGAATAAAAACTCAAATGAAAGGAGGGGATGCATACCCAATCATGGCAAGAAAGCATGAAATGATCAGCTCCAGAAGTTCGATTCCAAAAATGATGTTTTGTGGAAATGACACTAACATAATCTGAAACGAACTGTTTCAAAGGAGATATGTCAAAGGTGTCGGTCTTGTAGATGTACTTCACCATCCACACAACACTGAAAGGCATGAAAAAAGTATGAGCCATGTTGGGGTCATAAGTCCTGAAATTGGTGATGTTTTCACTCTCCATCTCGCTAATGAATCTTCCCTCGCTTGAATATATACTCTTGCAAGGTCCTCCATGCACTAAGGGTGGTTCACCTTCTTGATACACATACACCTTGAATCTTCTCTCCATCTCTTGGTAACTCCTTTTCAATTGCCATGCATGCAATCAAGATCTAATATCAATACAATTACACACATAAAAACAAGAACATAAATTTACAAAAAAAGGAATGTAGAACTCGAAGCAACTCAACACTCTGACCAATACAGAGTATGTAGTAATATGGAACTCGATGCTTTGACAGATACAAAGTACTTTTGTACATTTCAGGTTTCAAAACCTTTTTCTTTCCTTTATGGTTGCCAAAAACTTCTTTTATTTTAAGCGAAATTCATAAGGATAATATTTATTTTCAAAGATTTTAAAATAATAGTCTTTACTAAGAGTGTTCATGAAAATAATGCAAACTAGAATGGTATCCACAACAATAAATTGGGCTAAATTCAAACTAAATTTATTTTGTGACCATCTGTGCTAGTTCGAATTACTTGCTCTGTACAATCATGTAATTTTACTCTAATAAAAGAGAAATTTAATCAAGAAGACAAAGGGAATATCACATAAATACTTTGTATATTTATCATTTATTTACCCATATTTTAGATTATTCTATAGCCTAAAGGCTTACTTTTTACTCCATAGTACTCAGAATATATTAAGAAAGAGAAAGAGAAAGTTGTTTTTGGTAAACACAAGAGAAAATAGTTTATGAAAAGTAAAAGTAAGAGTAATAAAAGTGCAGGTATAAAATATTTTTATAAGAAAAACTTAAAAATTTGAAAAATAATACGGAGTAATAAAGTTCCTAAAAAGGAATATAGAATAATTAAATTTGAATGGATGTAGTAGATATTGAAAATGTAAGGTGAGACAAATTTAGTACTTTAGTTTTTTTAATATGTGGAGTATATATATATACTTTCTCCATCCCATAAAATTTTGTTATATTTTTTTTGGATGTCCAATTTTTTTGCCTTTTTCTACTTTAATAAATGAATTTGTGGTTCCTGTTATTTTTCTCTCCTATGCACATATCCCAATTACGTAGTTTTTACTTTATTATTTCTCGTATCAATCAAATTTGATAACGTTTTGAGTGAATGAGGGAGTAAGTTATTTAAACATTACCATTGTTGTCAAGTCTTCGCACTCCAAAAGCCCAACACGCTCTTTCGAGTTTCGTCAGGTCTTTTAATGTGGATGTATCAATATGGTTAATTATTAGCAAGTACTTCGTATATGACAATAAAACAAAGCAAATAAAAGAAAGATAAAGTGCGATATGTTCAAATAGATGAATATAGAACGGTTACAACACACCCTTATATAGAGTCCGAACACACCTCTGCTCTCTAATTATAGGTTGAGAAGTTTACAGATAAATAGAGGTAGACTAAGCTATTGAATGTAAGTTTGCTCTCCCCTGGCTCAGTCCGTTTTGTATTCATCTAATTGATTTGCTTTGCTTTATTGCCATATACCTGCTAGTTAATCATATTAATACATCCTCGTACATACTTCCTTCGGACCTATTTATGTTCCCACTTTCCTTTTCGGGATGTCCCTTATTTAAGTTCACACTTCCATTTTAGAAAACAACTTTACACCAAAACAGTGCAAAAACAGTGTTATACCGTGTTCAAACAGTGTCAAACGGTGCACTCCACAGTACAGTCAAATTTATTTTCTAATCTGTGTGAAGTCGAAGTGTGAACTTTAATAGGGACTGGAGGGAGTATAAAAGATCTGACGAATCCGAGTAGAGCATGTTAGGCTTTCGGAGGGCGAGAACTTACCATTAATTACTAATAAAAATGTTTTTGATCTCAGAACAAACAAAAATACACTTAAATAGACCAGACCACACTTTAACAGATCATACCAAAATTTGAAACATACCATACCAGATTTAAACATATCACACTAGACTAGACTTAAATAGACTACACCAGACCATATCAAATTCGTCCAGATCAGAAAATTTAAGTCCAAGTAAAAACCAACTAAGCCATGAATGACCTAGCTAGTCTTTAGGTATGATAGTATACAATATGAATTTTATTATTGTTTAAATCTAAATAAGTCTAATTTGATCCGGTCCGACTAAATAATATAATTAATTTCGATTGAAAACATTCTGAAATATAGTCAAACTAGCATATTTGAATATTATAGTACTCTGCATTATTTTCGAATTGAGTATTGATTTTTTGGTTTTAAAAGTAATACTAGTACTATCGTATTTCTTTTTGCATTTTCCAAAAAAAAAAAAACTTGATCGAATATCAATGAAAAATTGACAACGACAGGTTACAAATAAAGTCGTCTCAATGTAATTTTGGGAAAAACAAATTCCTCGAGATTTATGAATTTTTCCATTATATGAGCTCTAATATTAATACGTAGTATTAATTACTCCCTCCGTCCCATTTTGGTTGTCCTACTTTCCTTTTTGGGTTGTCCCAAAATGAATGTCTTGTTTCCTTTTTTGGCATGAAATATGTGGTTCTTATTAATTCACTTTATTCTACTCAAATCTCAACCACAACTTTTACTTTTCAACCACTTTATTAATAATCGTGTCAAATTGAAAGTGGACAACCATCATGGGACGGAGGGAGTATTAACAATAATTCCAAAAAGACCTGAACGTAGGCACGTCCCCATGCATATATATAGTATGTGAATGAACAGTCGCAATGTGTATAGTAATGGAAACGCTCCCATTCATGATTCATATATTACGTATTTATATTCATTCCATTCTATTACCATTTAATGCCTTTAATTACTCAATTTATTGCCTTCCTTAACACACCCAATCTGAATAATTAATGCTTTCTAAAAATAAAACTTACTCATAAAAAGCGCCGGCGTTGCGGTAAATCCCGCCGGAGATGCCAGCAGCCTCCGCCGCCGCCGTACTTCCGGTTGAAGTTGCTTTGAGAATCGCCGCTCTTGCTCGAGCCAATCCCTGCTCTAATTTGTTCTCCCTCTTCTTGAAAATCTACCTTCATAAAACTCAAAATGCATTAATATTATGTATACATTTTGAAATGTGTTTTTGAAAAGAGAGAGCACATATATATAAACTTCTCATTCACAAAACTTTAGAGTGTTTGATTGACCAATGATATTTCTTGACAAGAAATTATACTTCGTATTAAAAATAGAAATATATAGAAATGTTCTTTTTGTAACAATATTATCACAAAAGTATAAAAATAAGAGTACAGTATAAATTTCACGCAAATATAATATTATAATAACTCAAACCATTATCAAAAGTTTACTACCGAAGTATGATTGATGCACAAAAAGTTAATTTGGTCAGATTTTGTGGAACGGGATAGGATGGTATATTGAGTTGATAACCTCGGGAGGAACATATGAAGTGGGCGGCGGAGAATATTCCGGCGGTTCTCCGGTGAGGATAGCTGCCTTCTTCAATTCCACATTAGTGGTGTTAACTTCCTCAGCCTCCGATGAGTTGGAAATGTTGAAGCCATTGATGAAGGAATGGAGGTGAATAACATTTCCTTGGAAAAAACCAACTCGGAAATAATTTATAGTGATTAAACCCCAAACAAAAAGCGTAACACATAACACCCAAAGAAAAGCAGACATAATATTTCCACCATTGTTGCTGCTAGTTTCGGTTTCTCCATCCCCTCCACCTCTCTCCCTCATCCCTCTATACTTTTGTTTTTATGTATACATTAATGCTGTCTATATAAATATATTAACCTCCCTTTAATTTATTCATAGTAACAATTTGACTTTCAAACGATTAACCTAAACTGCTTTGACTTCATTTTATATATTAATGTATTAACAAATTATAGACTCACATGAAATAAATTTTTAGATTTCTTTAATTTCAATAATGTAAATTTTCAGAATATTTTTGTGATTTTTTTGTAATAGTCCATTAAACATATTATTTCATATATTAATGATCAAAGTTGTGCATCCCCATCAAGTGTGAAAGTTAGGATGTTTTTACTTGGGTTGTAATTTGCTGGTCTGGTCTGGTCTGGTCTGGTCTGGTCTGGTCTGGTCTGATCTGGTCTGGTCTGGTCTGGTCTGAACTGGTCTGGTCTGGTCTGGTAAGGTCTGGTTTCTTTGTATTTTTTATAACTATCCAAGTCTGGTCTGGTCTGGTCTGGTCTGGTCTGGTCTGGACTGGTCTGGTCTGGGGCAAATTACAGTCCAAGTAAAAACATCCTTAAAATGTTACAACTAATCAAGACAGAAGGAATGAAAATGTATGTTCTTTAATTATACACACGCACATTTTTTACACTATTCACATGTCCTACTTTGTATTTATTAATATATTAATAAATTATTAATTTTTAAATATTGTTAATTAAATTTTTCTTGTCATACATTTTCAAAATCTCATTTTTTTTAAAAGTTTTTGTACTAATATAGAATTAAGCATACTAATGGTCAAAGTTCTGAATCAGCAAACGTGAAAAATTGACTGTTGCACTTCTTTAAGAATGAAAGTTACATGCATAAAGAGGAACGAGAATGGCGCGAGATGGGTGAGATGATACAACAGATCGAAACATGAGGAACAAGAGTATTTTTGGTGTAGTCCAATATACTTATCATTGTAACACTATCCTAAAAGTTCAAACTGTTTACAAAAAACGAGAACCAGTTAGAAGAACTTCTATACCAACTTTCAGCTTTTAGCTTTAAAGTGTTTAGTTTAAATGGAAGTAAGCATTTGAAAACACGTTTCAGCCTACATATTTAAGTGGAAGTAAGCATTTTATTATTTTAATATGTTGCAAACACTCCCTAAACATGTAGACTTCTTTTTAGAAATGCACAAAATATATGTGAAATAATATCTCATATATTCAAGCTACTCGGATCAGGGATGGAGGCAATGTCTCAAGGGGCGGATCAAATGAAATAAAATTAATACGGAGAATAAATAAATAAATAAATAAATAAATAAATAAATAAATAAATAAATAAATAAATAAATAAATAAATAAATAAATAAATAAATAAATAAATAAATAAATAAATAAATAAATAAATAAATAAATAAATAAATAAATAAATAAATAAATAAATAAATAAATAAATAAATAAATAAATAAATAAATAAATAAATAAATAAATAAATAAATAAATAAATAAATAAATAAATAAATAAATAAATAAATAAATAAATAAATAAATAAATAAATAAATAAATAAATAAATAAATAAATAAATAAATAAATAAATAAATAAATAAATAAATAAATAAATAAATAAATAAATAAATAAATAAATAAATAAATAAATAAATAAATAAATAAATAAATAAATAAATAAATAAATAAATAAATAAATAAATAAACAAATAAATAAATAAATAAATAAATAAATAAAATAAATAAATAAATAAATAAATAAATAAATAAATAAATAAACAAACAAACAAACAAACAAACAAACAAACAAACAAACAAACAAACAAACAAACAAATAAATAAATAAATAAATTAATAAATAAATAAATAAATAAAATTAATAAATATATATGTACACAAAAAAACAATGATTGAAATATGATTTTCATTAGCATAATTCTATTCACAACACCCAATTTGATATTCACAATTAAATACCGTTTAATTATTAACAAATACATTGACAAAAGTAATTTATCCCTTCATGTTAATACACTCAAATATCATCACTACATTTTATAATACTCAGCCCACTTTGTTTATAATCACTACATTTTATACTAATATTAATCATTTAAGTCTTAACCATATTTTTTTGGTTATAAGTCTCCAACCATTAGTATTAAATAATACTCCGTACATAATTAATGTATAAAATACCGATAATTTTTATTAATCCCAACTGGAAGTAATAGTTTTATATAATTCATATGTGTATATTATCACACTCTTAATATATTGATCAATCACTCCTTAGCTTCATCCAACTAATATAATAATGAAAAGTATATATAATTGTTATTGTTAAAAAAGGTCACACGTGCAAGTATATTAAATATCGGGTATGTGTTGAGTGTATTAAAATAATGTACTTTATTACTTAATGTGCATATTAAAAACCACACTTGCAAGTACATTAATATATGATTTTATATTAATGTATATAAAATCATTATTACTTATTTTTGCTAAGTTTTTGGCAATACACACCCAAAATAGAATTGTACAATTAAATACCACTATCATTATTCTTCAAATCTTAACTTCTTAAAAACACTATCACAATCTTTTTAATAAAAAACTTGAGTCCCTTTATTTTGGAAGAAGATGAGTGAACTCTGCTTTAATTCCGTTTTATTTTGTTTGTGTCTTTTTTTTAATTGCACGTTGTTTTGTTTGTGTTCTTATTTCTTTGCATTAAGATTCTAGATTTTAAGTCAGGTGATGAGAAGTTTGTTTTGCCTGTAATTGGCTCAATTAAGTCCATTACAGAATCATCGAATGTTATTGTTTTCACGGGATGATAGATTTTAAGTCTAGAATTTTTTATATTTTGCCAAGTGAGTTACTACCTTGTGACATAATCACATTGCCAATTCGATCAAAACCATAGTTGCTATAGAAAAGAAAGGGAACCTGTTTGAATATAAATGATTTACCTTGTGAATTATTTCCTTTGGAGTATTAGTGGATACACTTTCCTATAAGGCTATGGCTACATCAATTATGCAGCGAGTCTTGTGAAAGCTTATTCTATGAATTGGACATCAGGCATTTATCCTATCGTTCCTAAACTATTACACGACTTTTTCCTTTTTCTTCCAAAACTATTCATATTTTCTTTTTTAAAAAGCAATGTGTATATCACATTGTTTCTTTCTTATGAATAACCTTGAAGTATTCAAAAAAAAAACTTTGAAGTTGGTTCTGGGAGAAACTAATAGCCCCCACCCACTTAGACAAGTTACAACTGTGCAATCTCCGGCCACAAACTACAAGTGTACGCTTCGATCACCTTGGGAAATACTACGTATAAAATAGAGTTCATGCTCCAAATACAAACACAAAGAATTGAACACGTGGGAGTATCATACACATCTAAACATATCAAATTACATTTACATCAATTGTGATTATATGAGCAATTTGATTGCATGTTTGCTTGCAAGTTATTTGTATTTTTGTACAATTGTACTTGTAACATTTTCCTTAAAATTTTATAAAAATCATTTTACGACATAAAACAGTGGATATACATACACATACAAAAACATTTAATGTACACGTATGAAACAACAATGACTCAAGGAGAAAGGCGTTGGAAGCTGAATTTTGATCACTTCAAACATGATGGAAGTGCAAGCCCATGACAAGCGAAGGCCAAAATAACGTAGATGAGGGCCAGAACGAGGAATGTTACCACAACTCTGCACAAAAACAGGAAACAAAAAATTTAATACAGTTAAAGGAACAGGACAGGAAAACTTAAGCTGCTCGGTATTGACAGCAGCTGATTAAATTCATATACCAAGATAGATGAACTATATAAGAAGGCGATTCTCTACATCTATTGTTTTGGCACCGCAAAAATATGAAGTTACAACAGCTTGTAAAGGATTTTATGACGAAATCCGGAAACTCGATGGCAATATCCTTTACAAAGCTGTTATAATGGATTCGGTCCATTAGAAAGGGTAAAAAAATTGTAGTGTTCCAATATACTGTGGATAATGTCATGACTCCGACCTTGATTAGCAAGAGTATAACACACACAATCATGGAAGAATGATTAACATACATAAGCTTAACATTTCTCCACCAAACCGCACTCCTAAAGCGGCGGGACTGCCTCCTGAAGCGCAAAGTGTTTCCTTGCATTGTAGCAGTTTTATCAACAAGCAATTCCAAACGATCTCCTCTCTCCAGAACTTTATCAATGTTCTGAATCATAACATTGCGCACCTGTGGAAGGAAATTTAAACTGCTTTCAGAGTTCAACAAAATGGACCCAAAAATGGAAAACTCATATGACTGTAATCCACAAGTGAATACCTGACTCATTTCACCTTTTAGCCGGTTTATTCTATCTGCATTTGGGTCATTGGAGTAATATTCCATTTGCTGTGCAAGAACCCTTGAGAATTCATCATTCATGGCATAAGCTTGTGCGGATAGCACCGCTCTACCATAAGTTCTCACAAATCTTTGATGAATCTCCTCCAGAAAATCAAATGGAATCCTTCCTAATTATGAAGAAACAGTGAATGCATAAATTCCATGGAGTACACAAAATCAAAAAATCTTTCTGAGACATTGCTAAAATGCTAAAGGTATAATATGAGTCTAACACCAGATAATTATTTAAGATACGAGAGATATGAGGTTATAAGAACTAAGGTTGAGCTAGCTAACCAATACTAGTTTGATTTATACGTCCTATTGCTAGTTGAGTGAGCTCAATCCAATCATGAATAATGAATTCAATCAAAAGTAGTTAGTTTTGAATAAAGAGAACTTCTGCAGTTTTGCTTCCATAGGCATTTTCTCCCAAATCTAAATGCTTTGGAATACCAATTATATAAATCTCATCTGTATCTACAAATAACCAAAGTCACATTAAGTTTAACCTCTTTTTGCTTTGAAATGTGGAAAAGGAAAAACAAAATTCGCCTTAAGAGCCTGTTTGTTAAACCTGTTTTCAG